CGGCTGGAGAGAAATTTGAGAGAAATTGGCTGCGCTGCGTCCCTCCGTCCCGTAGAGATGTTGGCCGTAGAGCACGAGGAACCGGCAGCAGGGACGTTTTTGCCCTGGAGGAGCTTGTGGCTGAGCGAGCACAACCTGGTTATACGAGGCACGCGAAGAGGCAGGTGGAAGCGAATATCCCTTTTCTGGGGCAAATGGCTCCTCTTCGTTTTTTGAAAGAGCGCAGAGTAAAGTTGAGCGGCACAGCTCTTCAGGGATGCTCGGTAGTTGGTCACATAAGGACACGTGAAAAGGCGTGTGGAAATATAGCAAGCCTGAGCATGAAAATAGTAGTATTGTTTATAAAATACTCCCTTTCATGGTCACGTTTTTTTTTACACACACACACACATACGTGTGTGTGTGCGTGTGTTATGTATATGCGTATATATATATTTATAGCATATATCACTATTAAGTCCTAGTAGCATAGAGCTACATAGGAATGCCTTTGAAATAACGTGTCCTTCAACATCACATCTCTGAAGGATTGAACTTAAAATAGAGCGGGATTCATGGTGTCCGGCAAGCATAATTTGTTCAGTACATGTGCACTGCAGTGCACGTCTTGACAGATTCTCATCTCTGTCATGGTGGTATGACTTTACTCTTGCAGTATTAATTTTAATGGAATGGCTTATCTTGGTATTAGGCTGTTCAGGCCCTGCCTGCTTGTCTGATAGTGCTGCTTGGATATGTAAACAGTTAAAGAATGAAGATGTCAGGACTGGCAGGCAAAAAGTGTGACCTGCTGTATATTTTGGCCAGTGCACATGCATAAGCACATAGCTTAGTGCTCTCCGCTTAGTGCGCCTGCCCCACGGGGGCAGGCTCTGAGGACAGGCCCTTGGAGCGTGCTCTGCAGCGTCATGCTTCAGGTAAAATAGAAAGATGAGAGCAAGTTTATGTGTGTGTGTGTGTGTGAATCGGCTCCCAAATATACTTATTGATGAGAGCGACAAGAAACTGCAAGGCAATGAAAGAAAGGGTTAGGACTCAAATCTGCTCAGGTCAGAAAGAATTTTGTTGTTGACTATGTGGTGGGCACAAGCTCTATGCACTTGTGAATTGGAGTTTTTATGTAATTTATTGTAAGCCCATTAGAAACAAATGCAAGGGCATGAAGTGGTGTGAGGAGATAATTTTACTCACTGACTGGGTTGGGTTCTGGGAGAGGTCTTGAGTTGTGCTCCTGTCTCTGCCTTTTGTCTGCTGGGTGACCTTGGACAAGTTACTTAAGCTTCCAGTGCCTTCCTTGGTTTCCCTATTTATAGGATGTGGTCGCTGAAAGTAGCCTCCATTAGAGGAGAGATGAAACCTCTGGGATCCAGAGATGAAACATGCTTCATAAAAGCTGTATGTTAATGACATTAATAGTAAACCGTGATAAAAAGGGTAACTTAATGTCAACATGCACATTATAGTAAACCGTGATAAAAAGGGTAACTTTATGTCAACATGCGCATTATACCAGTGACCTATAACTTTATAATTGCTGATTGCTGTACTTGTTTGCACGTTCATGACTCAATGCCTTCTTTCCCACTGAGTGCTCAGTGCAGGGAAGAGTTTTTCGAGAGGAGGAGGAGAGGGGGAAGGAAATAGATCAGTTTTGTGTGTGGAAAGCAGGTCACAGGATAGCAGGAGCACAGGAGCTACACCAGATTTGCTTACTACCTGTCAGGGAGCCAAGGGATGGCAGCTTCTAAAGTTGCTTCTTCACTGTTACTGGGAGCCTTTCTGATCTCTTTCAGGACGAAGTCAAGGAGTTGGATTTAGACTATGAATTTGCTGTGGAGCAGCCTGAAAGAACAACCAAGAGGCACTGAAGATGCCTCTGATATGTGGCTTGATATGTGACTGTAACCTTGTACTTAGCATCTGCAGACTGTCAGATATGGAGATCTGGCATGCTAGCTGGTGTGCTCTGAAGGAGGGCAGTAGAGAGCTCATTCCTAGTGATGGAGTTAGGAGAACACATTGAGTGTTCAGCAACTTGTTGCTTTGATTAAAAAAAAAAAGGTGTTTACTATGTCAGATATTCTTACGTACGTTTCAGTTGCTCTAAACCAACGTTATTTTAAAAGCAAGTTTTAAATCAGAAATGTGCGTGTGTATGTGTATATATGTGTGTATATGTGCATCTGCTACAAGGCAGACACACATCCAAAATATGGGCCCAAACTCTTCACTAAGGCCAAGGAAAATTGGTTTCCCTCATGCGGCACCTTGCAGGGTTGGATCCATAGTGACCTTTTTCTTGTTTTGAAAGCTTTGCGTTTTGCTGATCTGTCCTTGTAGCTTTCACGATGATAGATGAAAGCCTGTTAAAGGCTGTATGAAGAGACTAAAACCAAACTGCTGGCTCCTGTCTCATGCCCTTGCATTGGTTATACCTGCCTGCTCTGGTACGAGATATGCCTGCTGTGCATGTCCCCCTGGGCAACTGGAGCCAGAAATAAGTTTTGATACTCTAGCGGAGCAAGCGCTGAAGAGCCTCCCCAGAGGGCAAATGCGCTGCTGCGGTAAGCAGTGTGGGTCCTTCCCCCCCCATTTTTCAGTAGGTATGTATGCTTCTGCCCTTAACAAGCCATTAAACATCACTATATTTAAACAATAATAGTAGTACTGACCGTACCCAATAATGTATGCCAGCCTGTCACCTGAGTCTTTGTTCAAATGTCTCAGGCAAAGCCTAGGAAATTTTAGTTGAAACTCCTTCCTCCTCAAAACTTCCTTCTTATAAATAACTACAGAAGAAATTGAGTGAAACAATGTGTGGCAGAAATGAATAATTGTAAATGTATTTTTCTAAATTTCATTCCTTTTTATTATTGGAATCTTTGCCTCTTGTCACACCAGCTTCAGCGACTGCTGTTTGCTTACTCCACTGAAGTTTGATCTTTCAGCCACTGAAATTGGCTGTAAAGGCTCAGTTTGACTGAAAGCTCTAATGACTTTTGCCTCTCTACTTTTTTTTTCTGTTAATGAAAAACATACAGCTGAGAAAGACACTCTTAAAAATTAATGGTAATGAAATGATGGGAATAAATGATGAAATGAAAAATTTAAGAGTAAGGAAGTATTTGGGGTACAGGAGACTGCTTAGTGTTCTAGTTTTCAGACGCTGTTGATATTACACAGCATCAGAATTTGTCTTTCTGTACATTTTCCACTGGAGGATACAAAAAGTCTTTGCATGCATTAATGCATAATGCATAAACCAAGTAGATAAATTAACAGAAGTAGTTTTTTACATTTTCCAGAAGGGAAGTAGTGTTTTTTGGACTTCCTCGAGGTTATGCCACAGACCAGTTACACAGACAAGAATAGATCCCAGACTTGGTCAGTTTCTAATTTTAACCCAATACGCTGCTTTCCTTCCGTATATGTGAAATTTAGATTCGTCTTTCCTCAGTGTATTTCATGTTCTGCTCAGTAACTTAGCTAATCATCCGAGGTGGATAAGGATATGCTATAAGCTTTATAGCCTGACATATTCAAAGAAATGTTGCATTTCACTTGTGCTGCGGGAGTCTGAGAAACAAAGATTTGACTTTACATCTGTTAAAAAAAATTGTGAGCAGCCACAGTGTGTAATGAGTGTGAAATCATCTTTGGCTCTCTTTGTTTGGTTTTGTTACAAAGGATATGGATATGGAAAGCAGTGCTGCATCCTAACGGATGGGATTTCAGATAATAACATTTGTTCGTTATCTGTTCTGCTGTGGTTAGAATCCAGTTACAGGGCTACTTTCAGCCAGCACGCACCATAAGGATGCTTGGGTACGGGACAATATCTACAGCATCCTGGCTGTGTGGGGACTGGGGATGGCTTATCGGAAGAACGCAGACCGGGATGAGGATAAGGCCAAAGCCTATGAACTTGAGCAGGTATGTCAAAGTTCTGCATAAACCTTTTATGTTTGCTTTTTTTTTTTTTTTTTCATAAGGAAATGGTTTTGAATGGGGTGTTTGCATGGCTGTCATGCCTAGGAGGTAGTGGGGCTTCCCATATGTGTGTCCCAGCTTGGAGTGTATCTGTTTTATTCCTCTGACATTAGTATCTGTGCAGCACGTGGTGTCCAGTATTCCTAGCAACCTTCCAAGAAGGAAGTAAGATTTTCAGTTTAGAGTTGGAGAACTGATAACAGAGAGGCCAGCAGCTGAATTAAAGCAAACAAACAAACAAAAACAAACTTATGGGAGTCAAAATTCCATTGCTTCATTGAATGATTAGTGAAAATTAGGCTTCTAAGGTATTTTGTGCCCAGGTTTACAAGCCTTTGACTATACCTTGAGATCCAACTTGAGATGTCTTGTGAGGCAGAAAATCGGGTCTAGGTTGTTTGAATACTAGGCTATCAGTTTATCTGCTGAACCATTCTTCCCCAAAAGAAAAAACATGGCTTTTCAGATAGCAGTCTTTGAAACATGCACGTGGTGTATAGAAGTGTGTAGCTGATCAGAAGCAATGAAGGCAAAACTTCAAACTGATAAAACTCGTGTTGTAGAGAATGAGAAGGGGAGGTAACTGACACAGATCTGAACTCTTAAAGTCTATGGTGGTTTTTTTATACAGTTGGGAAAGTGGGTGTTAGAAGTATGAGTGTGGAGAAAGAAGGGGAGGTGATTTAAATGGAGAGTGAGGGAGAATTAGTTTCCATCCTGCTAAATGTTTCCTGGCTTGCCTATGTGGAAAGGGTGGTGTTAAGTGGGCAAGTTTGTTGAAACCTACAGTATCCTGCTGTGGTTTAGAAGACATTGGGTAAATCTTAGGCAAATGTGTATTCCTCAAACCATTGAAATTGGTGGCGAAAGAAGAACCCTGCCTTGGTTTGCGTGATCATATTCTGAAGCCATATTAGGTTTTGGATAAGGAGATGGGCTTAATTTTTTTGTTGAAGACAAAATCCTGTGCTTCTCTTTGTATATGTTAAAGGTCACAGAATCACAGAATGGTTGAGGTTGGAAGGGACCTCTGGAGATCATCTAGTCCAACCCCCCTGCTCAAGCAGGGTCACCTAGAGCACATTGCCCAGGATCGCGTCCAGGCGGGTTTTGAATATCTCCAGGGAAGGAGACTCCACTACCTCCCTGGGCAACCTGTTCCAATGCTCAGTCACCCTCACAGTGCAGAAGTTTTTCCTCAGGTTCAGATGGACCTGCCTGTGGTTCAGTTTGTGCCCGTTGCCTCTTGTCCCGTCGCTGGGCACCACGAAGAGACTGGCCTCATCCTCTTGAACCCCCCTCCCCCACCCCACCCCTTCACATATTCGTACACATTGATGAGATCCCCTCTCAGTCTTCTCTTCTCCAGGCTGAAGAGGCCCAGCTCTCTCAGCCTTTCCTCACAGGAGAGATGCTCCAGTCCCCTCATCGTCTTTGTAGCCCTCCACTGGACTCTCTCCAGTAGTGCCATGTCTCTCTTGTCCTGGGGAGCCCAGAACTGGACACAGTACTGCAGGTGAGGCCTCCCCAGGGCGGAGCAGAGGGGGAGGGTCACCTCCCTCCACCTGCTGGCAACACTCGGCCTCATGCACCCCAGGATCCCCTTGGCCTCCTTGGCCACAAGGTCAACATAGCTGCCTTCTGCTTAACTTGTCCACCAGCACTCCCAGGTCCTTCTCTGCAGAGCTACTCTCCAGCAGGTCAACCCCCAGCCTGTCCTGCTGCATGGGGTCCTTTAGAGTTGTCATCTGCTTGCTGTTGAACTTTACAAAGAGCTGAAAAAATTCCACAGTTTCTCCCTTTGTGTTTACCCGTGTTCCCTGGATCCGTCATTCTAAAAATCATTGTTATTACTGTTACTTCCTTAGCCAGATGAAAGGTCACAGAGGGTTGTTCAGCTGTTTATAGATAGTTCTTGGGAAAGGATTTGTCCTGCTCGACAGGGGTGTGGGAATAAAAATCAACTAGTATATTGTAATTCTGTAGAAAACCAAAGAATTAGATCAGAATCTTGAATCCTTCTGGACTACTAATTAATTCTGGGATGCTTTCTGAGAGGTAAGAAGTACTACGTTTTTAAAGCTTCTGTATAATGATTTTCTTCCAAAAACCACATCCTAAGGAAAAATGTGTTTGTAGAGTTGGGGTTAGTTAAAAAAGCATTTCAGATGACTATGTGTTTGTACCTTTGGCAGGACATTAGTAGGGGATGTGAACTTTGCTGTTCTTGAATGTTGTTTGGAACAGCCATTAAGGCTGGTGATGTGGAATTGTCACTAATATGTTTTGTTCCTGCAGAATGTTGTGAAGCTGATGCGGGGACTCTTACAGTGCATGATGAGACAGGTAATGTTATAACCGAAAAGCATTTATTGCTTTTAGCCCAAGATTAGATCCAGATCCGTAGCTGCAGTTGGTAGACAAAGGGAGAGAATGAGAGTATTCTGGAAAACATGATTGCCCAGAATCAATAAGAGCTTTAATTCCCCAAATCATTGTTGAATGGAAATGTACCCATCTTTTGGCACGTAGCATAGTACTGTGGATTTAGAGCAACATAGCAATAGTTTGATTTAAAGTTTCCAAATCGTAACCTGTGTTGCCACTAGGTGAGAAAATTTTTTGCCTTAGGTCACGAGTTGAATAAGTTTGTGTTGTATTTGCAGAGCGTTTCATCTGAAGCAGATATTTTTGTTGGGGGTTTTTTTGTACAGTGACTTTTTCTTGGGTGTGTTTGCAAAGTGGTGCGGGGAGTCTTTTTAAAATTCTTTAGTTTCCCTGAACAAAAGTGTGATCTCACTTGCACCTTTTGGAGGTGATGCTCTGAGCAAGTTGTAGTTTTTGCCTTTGCAAATTGATTTTTCACTAAGAGGCACAGCTGAAACTACTTTATGTTCAGATCTGAGTTAAAGTTCGTTCTTTCCTGAGAAGATATGGATTTAGTCTGAGCCTAAAGGTGAAGAGATGTTTAAGCACTTTGATCGATCAAAACATACTGAAGTGATGTAAAAAAATTAGGACCTCAAGTTTCTCCTCTCCTAAGAGTAGATGTCTGTTCTGAAATTCTTTGTGACTGGAGAATTTCTTACTAAGATTTTCAGATTTAAAATCTGTGCTTTTTTTTTTTTTTTTAGGTAGATAAGGTAGAGAAGTTCAAACACACACAGAGTACCAAAGACTCTCTGCATGCCAAGTATGACTCTGCTACCTGCGCCACAGTGGTCGGAGATGACCAGTGGGGCCATCTACAAGTAGATGCAACTTCCCTTTACCTGCTCTTCTTGGCACAGATGACTGCATCAGGTAAGCAGAAGATATTTTAGCCTTGACAATTGTTGCAGTCGTCTTTCATTTAAAAAGGAAAAAAAACCAAGTTTTAACTACCTTCAAAGACCTTTACATAGCTATTACTTAGAAGGAAATAATATTTATGTGGAAAAGAGATGTGGCTTAGTTAGGATTTCAAATTTACAGTAATTACTCTGGCAGTGATTGTTCTCTTAAAGTTTGTTGACGTACAAATACCTGAGGTGTACAGAGCTGTGTCAGAGAAGAATTTCGTGTTTGAAGACTGCGTGGACTATGGTGATCGATAGGCCTCTTTAGGGAGCGACTACATCAAGTCAGGTGTTCTAGTCCTGTTTGTGTTCCCTTTCTTGCTGGCACTGTTCTATTTTGATACCCTTCACAACTGTGCCCTTCGTATGACGATATGGCTCTCTTTTTGCTACCTGCTTGCTTTTCTGTCCTCAGAGCCTCTCACATTTGACCACAGCAGAGTGCGTGTCTGATTTTTCCGAAGCAAATGGAAGGGTGGGGTGCTGCTGAAATTGGATTGTTCTGTTCCTGGGACCCAGAGCTGGCTCAGATATCACTGCTTTGTGCCGGTTGTGTCTGAATGTCACCCTCGGAGGGTTTTCTTTTTGGGGAGTGGTCTTTGAAAGAAAAATGAATCAGTAGCATTTGAAGCGTTTTATCAGCAGCAAGTGTTGAGGCTTGCTGCCTCTTCTTTGAAAATCACTGGTAATTTTTCCATTGTCCGTTCAGTGGAAAATAGTTGCTAGCAAATAAGCTAAAAGCGTGAAAAATCATTGAGGAGTAAGTATTTCAGTTTTAACACAGTGTAATTAATTTATTCCCTTCTTTCAATCAGGGTTGCGTATTGTCTTCACCCTTGATGAAGTTACCTTCATACAGAATCTTGTCTTTTACATAGAAGCTGCCTACAAAGTTGCTGTAAGTACTTATTTATATGCAAATGATCTGAATAAACATCTGATATGGGTCAGAAATAATGTATTGTTGGAGAATAGAAGCATGGACTTTTTCCATGAGAGGATGTCAGAATCTGTCAGGACATTACGCTGTGAGCAGCATTTTTGGAAATGGTGGGAGGGCTATGGAGGGATCTTCTGCTACCTGGATGGAGGTTCGTTTGTGCTATCATACTAATAACTTTTCTTGCAGCGTGAGTCTGAACTTTATTTGTAATTGTCCTGATGTGTCATAAAACCTCACAGACCTTTCTTTAAAAAAAAAAAAAAAAAAGGCAAAATGGTAACAAACGTGTTTTTTGGAAGTGATGAATTGAAGGAGTGCTGGGAGATACATGCAGAATCAAGGTCTTTGCTCTGTTCCACGAAGAAAATGATTCATAATTGTCGATGTGGTGGGCTGTACTTTTATGTACTTCTCTTTAAACGTTAGGAAGGCTGGCCGGGGGGAGGGAGGAGGGGGGAGCGAGGTTTAAATAAACTAGCTTCAAACATGGGTCTGGTGAATAAACTTGCTTCATACAGGGGTCTGGTTTTGTTGTTGAGCTGTGCACATGGAGGGGAGGGAAAAGGGGTTCTTTTTGTGTGTAATCGTGCCAATTTTTTCTTGATGATGTTGTTGCAGGATTATGGAATGTGGGAACGTGGTGATAAGACAAACCAGGGCATCCCCGAACTGAACGCAAGCTCTGTAGGAATGGCCAAGGTGAGAATGTCTTACTGACTGCTACTTAATGACGGAGCTTGATGTGTCTTGGTTGGCTAGTTGGCTGTTAGGAGTGCAGAGAGCAGACATCTCTTCCTCTTTGCCTTGTGAAGCAGCAGGATCAGTAAGAGGCAGAAATGGTAAAGCTCTCCCTATTTCTGCTAGCCAAACTCTGTTGATCCTGGGGCATGTTGTACAAGCCTCCTTCTTTGGATAGGTCTTCAGATAGGAGTGAGAATGAACTGAGTGGAGAATTACTTTGGAACATGGGAGCAGCATTTATTACTAAGTTCTTCAGTACTGAGATATCTCAGCAGAAGCTCTGTCCACCCTTGCTTTGCATTGTGTTTAAATTGTAAGAAGCCTCACAACACATCCCTCTTGTATCCCACTAGAGGAAAAAGAGAAATATTATTTACTTTTCTTAAAAAAAAAAAAAAATGAAATTTTTTTTAAAAAATTCAAAATTTCCATAAAAGATAAAAACAAATCATGAAAATGTCTGTAGAGCAAACTTCTCTCTTTGCTTTCTCTCTGAAGGAAAATACATCAGGTTCTAGGGTGTATACTCAGATCAAATTTTCTTTTTTTTTTTTGGGGGAGGCTTTGGAAGCAATTGATGAACTAGATCTTTTTGGTGCTCATGGAGGGCACAGATCAGTGATTCATGTTCTTCCTGATGAAGTAGAACATTGTCAGGTAAAAATAGTCTTCTCTTTCCTTGGGTAGAAGAAAACTCAAATGTTCTTCCCATTTTATTTTTAAATGAAATATCGATTGACTAAACCAAAAACTTAACATAAGGACGATTTCAGACTACGCTGTTCACCCTGTTTATAATAGCTCTTCTGAAAGTGAGCGTTCTCGTATTAATTCACTTAACAATAATTATCCAGTGAGTTCTAAGTCAGTTCGCAAATAACATGCTCTGCTCCATTTGCATCTGACATAGTCACTTGAACGAGATAATTGTTTTACATCCATCCGTTCTTTTCTTCTTTTGCTCAGTCTATTCTATATTCGATGTTGCCAAGGGCATCCACGTCAAAGGAGATTGATGCTGGCCTTCTCTCTATTATTTCTTACCCAGCTTTTGCAGTGGAGGATATAAACCTTGTTAATGTAACCAAGAGTGAAATCATATCCAAATTGCAGGTAAGTGTTTCCTTTATTTTTATTTCCCAGAGGGAAAGAATAAGCAGAGCCTCCCTGTCCTGACTGAAAATTCTAATTGAAAAAGGGTTGCCAGGTTTGGTGAATCTGTGTGCGTGTAAAAGAGGGAAGAAAATCCCTAAGTGACACTGAAAAGTCAACACATGTATTAGGTGTTAGTCTGTGAGGAAGAACAGTATGAGAAGTTTTAATAATTGGTCTATTTTTACAGGGCCGCTATGGCTGCTGTCGCTTCCTTCGGGATGGTTACAAGACACCCAAAGAGGTACTGTTGGCTGTTTTCAGTAGACGTTTGGAAGAATTTCATTTGTCTCGTTTGCAGTAAGGGGTAAAGTTCTGTATCACTGTTAAAACATCTTAGTGGATCTGGTAGTAATCCGAGCATCCACCCTGGGAAGATCTAAAGGAGACTAAGAACTGGAAAAACAATTAGTCACTGCAGATCTTAATTCATAGTTCTATTAGACATGGACCCCTATACATGCTTATGGTGCCTAAAGGGAAATGGTATCTCTGAGGCAGCCCAGGATATCTTTGAATTAAGGCAAAACTAAGATTATTTAGGTGACACCTAAGTTCTGAAAATGGGAACGACTCATTTGTCTGGGGAACGGATAAATCGGTTTCAGACTGAATGTGAATAAGAAGTCAAGATGCTGCATGACGCTTTTTACTGTGGTTTACATTGGTTTCCTGGTTTTAATTGTTTGTGTGAAATAAGCTTCCATTATGTATGTAATATGAATAACTTATTTAGCGCTTATGAGTAAATGAGTATGATTAAATTTCTAGGATTCAAGCAGGCTGCATTATGATCCAGCTGAGCTCAAGCTGTTTGAGAATATTGAATGCGAGTGGCCGGTATTCTGGACATACTTTCTAATTGATGGAGTATTTAATGAGGACAAAATTCAGGTGAGGAAAGAAGAAATGAATTTGAATGGAAATGTGAAGCCATTACCCACTGTATTTTGTAGCTTTGACCTGTATTTATTTTGGATATCAGTTGCCTCTATACAAAGACCCCACAATCTGTTTCTGTAGTGGAATGCAGTAGAAGGTCGATCCTTCACCAGATACAGTTTTTGTGTCGATGAATTATTCACTGCAGATACCAGCAGGTGGCTGAGGAGGTGGAGCCTTCCCTCTGGCCTGTGACACTATTGCTGCTCTGAAGGGATATGATAGGTGCAATTATTTGAATCTTTAACCACGATGATGCTCTTTTGACTTTGAACACTACTGGGAATTCACTGGGATTCACTAGGGTTGCAGACAGCAGGATGGGGGTAGTCTCCAGCCAATAGGACCGTACTGGGGACTTCATGACATGGGAGAAACTGCACTATTGTGTGTACTGGGACTTCATTGCCCTTTGTATGCCATAGCTCTGTCAAGTTGAGTGGCTTTCTTAGCAGCCTTTGATCACCTGCTTCTTTCTCATCCCCAACCTTAATGCCTCTTTCCACATTACTGCAGGATGGGACCAGCTCCCTTTTCCCCTAACCTATGTGCTGTGGCTGCTGAGAATGAGATTCGTAGTCCCTTCAGTCCTTTTGTATGTTCAGGGAGATTTGGGACTGGATTGACCTTTATAAGGGGGCCATGCTATCTGCTAATAAAGTAACTCATTTCATAAGTTAATTTCTGATTTCATAAGTTACTTCATACCTTTGCTGTGTCAAGCATTCACTGGTCAAGGGTGCTAAATTGATCATAGCTCTCCAAAGATTATAGTGGTTCTTGGGGAGTAGTGGTAAACTAAAGAACAGCAAGTAACCAGGATTAAACTTATTCCTCCCGAGAGTTCTGCAGAATGGTGGCTTGGAGCAACTTACAAATAACATGTGATTTTTAAAGCTGCCTAGTATGCAGGTGGACTAGAGAGTGCTAAATATAATCCCTTAGAAAAATAAAATGGAGGTAGGAATTAAGCAAGGAGTCTCAAGCCAGAAAGCCTTCCTTCTGTACAGATATTTTAAGTAAGGTGAAAGAATTATTAACACTAGAAGTATAAGATACTTTCCTGAACACAGTAAAGATATTCTGCTAGGGAGAGCAATGGTGTTACTTCATGAGGGGAAAAAATCAAGGAGTTTATTGCATCTTCAGGCACCTCAAAAAGCAGTCTCTAGAATTTAGTTAGATGATCTGGAATGGTGTGTATCTGACTCTCTGGTATCCAAATGGGCTGTAGCTAGGGTGTGCTCAGAGCAGGCAATTGCTCCCAGCTCCCTCAGTTCAAATATAGCTGTAATGTGTCAGTTGAGTGTCTAGTCCTGCTAAGTTACTGCTGCAAGCAAGTAGTTGCAATGGGTAGCAATTGTTAGAAAAACAAGTACCCTGAGGACTCAGAAAGAGTAGAGAAGGACGTAGGATACTAAAAATACTAGAGTACCGTGATAGGAACCTGTGGGTATGTTAACTTAGGTCAGTGTATTCCATTGTAGCTACCTGTCTCAGAAAGAGATAGCAGAAATAGGATTTCAGAGGAAGGCACTGGTAGTGCTTAAAAACAGCTTCCCTACAAGTAAAAACCTGGAATGGGATGGTTAAGAGCAGGAGCAAAATAAAAGATATGGAGAATATTTTTTTATTTGTATCAGTCTGGTATTCTTGTTCATAATATCTTGTCTAACAACACAAGAACAAAAGGATTTTCAATTCAGCAAATTCGTATCTTTTTAATCCGTTTTAATCTATTTTAAATTTTCCATAAGGCAAATTAATAAGAGAAATTGATTTCTCAATCCTGTGAAGCAGGATGCAAAGTAATTGTAGGCAGATTTACCTAATAGAAAGCTAACAATTAATACAAAATATTTATCCTTGCACTTTAATGGATGGCTTAAATCTTGACAACTTTCATGGAGAGGTTGCTGCATGATGATGCAGCAGATGATGATCTGTTGCAAATTTCATGCAGCATTTTCCTGTAACAACTTTGTAAAAATACACTAGAAGTAGTGGGGGATCTGTCTGATCCATATGAGAGTCCTTTTGTTCAGATACTTTTTCATTGATAAGAAAAAACATTCTAGTTTTTAAGATACTATTCACTTGCACTTTTTTTTTTTTCCTCCAGGAATCATAGTCTGATATAATGATACTATAGTGATGAATGTGACTTAAAGACTTTAGAGGAAAATGTTTTTTTCTGCTTAGCTAATTTCGAAAGAAAGCTGATCCACAAACTGGGACAGGGGAAAAGAATCAAATGTCTCCTTCCTCTGTCTACACAGTGTTAATAACTTTAAATGAATGATTTACGTATAAATGGAAACAACAGCAAAACTGGGAGATGTAATCCTGGCCCAAGACTTGCTAAAACCTAGCACTGCTGAGATTCTAAACTACTGGAAGAAAGGAGGAGAATGGAGCAAATAAATGCTTTGAGGCCACTGGAGAAGTATTTCTGCGAACCAGATATAAATATATTTGTATCTTGATTTGCGTGGGGAACTTCGGCTGTCTAAATGAAGAGGTTTTCAGAGTCCTGAGTACTCTGGTCTGACTTGCTGCATAGAGGAGTCTGTCTGTCTGTCTGTCTCTCTCTCTCTACTAAGTTAATGCTTGCAGGTGGACCAACCTCCTGACTTAAGAACCAGTTAGGAAGTGTGGCATTCCCAAAGTGTCCAAATACATTTTAGTTATGTGCTTATGACAGACAAAAACAATCAGTTCTTATAAATGCTTGGTAGAGTGGCAGACTTGCTTTCTTCCTAGCGTAGTGGTGCACCAGAGTTTTCTGCAGAAAAACAGTTGTGAACCAAAGTAGTTATGACCTCTACAGGTCATATTTTCAAGGTTAAAAATAAAGATGCTCTATCTCAGTTTTGTATTACGACGGTTTGTTACAGATAAAAGACGTGTGCTCATGTTTCTGAGACTGAGAATGTTGAGATGCTGAAACAGTATCTGAGAATTTGAATCCTGACCTTCCAACAGCAAGTCTTTTTTTTTTTTTTTAAGAGATCAGATATTAGTTGAAAGGGTTATTGGAAAGTACTGCAAATTTGACTTTACTATTTCTGTTTTGCTGGCTTCAGTGTGAGTTCTCCTTCCCTTTTTTCCTTTTTCCTTTTTTTTTTTTTTTTTTTCCCCCTCCAGGTACAAGAGTATAGAGAGGCTCTGGAAGGAATACTTATTAGAGAAAAGAATGGAATAGTTCTAATGCCTGAACTGTATGCAGTCCCTTCAGAAAAGGTATTGTGGAAAATTATAGCACCTACTTCAGAATGTGAAGTTGAGGTATCAAGATGAGTATCAGTTTTGTAATTCTGCTGCAGCTGTTAAATGTAAACCAACAATAAAGATTACTGCACATCACTTTATGAAAATAAATAGTCATTTCACAGCTCCTGTTGAGAAATGGTAAACCTGAGGCTTCTAGGTGATCAAATTTTGGACCTGGGAATCTGGGTGCCTACGGAAATATTAGAGCAGGCTTAAAACTCGAAATCCTTCCCTTTCTCCGCTGATTAATTTTTTCACCTGTAACAAGACATATATTAAAAAAAATGCTGATGCTGACCTAGGAAGTTCTTCTCTGAGAAGAAATAAGACTGTCTTCTATCAGTTGTTTGCACTCTTTCTTTTCCAGAGCTTCCATACAAATCAGGTCTTTGGTTTGGGGAGTTTTTTGGTTTTTTTTTTTTTCTCTTTTCTGTTACTTTTTTTACCTGATTCTCCCATTGTGACAGTCGATCTCAAATGCTTAGCCTTAATTCAGTCAGTCTAGTGCTCTTCCATCCTAGCTGCCTTTGATTCCTTCCTGCCAACCTGTCCTCCCGCTCCACACCTCTCAGGCCTCACTTACGAATGGTGTGCAACCTCCTGCATCGGTCTGTCTTTATGCAGGGAGTGTCAACAGCTGCTGTTTTTGTTTGCAGATCTGAGGCTGAAACTCTGAATTGTCTTCCTGTTTGCTGGGTGGGAGCATGTACCCAAGGGCAGAACCTTCCTCTGAACTTTGATAGGCACCATTATAAGCTGATGAGCATTCCAAACAGAGTAGATATTGCCTGCCATTTTTATAAAATTTAAAATGCCTGTGATGAATATGTTATCTGAGAGGGTTTTATCCCTTCCCTCAACAGATCTGTATACTGCAAAATCAAGGCAGACTTTTTTTTTTTTTTTTTTTAAGTTAATGGTCTCTTCTCTTTCTTTTTCCATCGACCCCTCTTGCTAACATGGGAAGGGTGGAACAGCCTTCATTTTTTGGAAAGCACCTTTACTCAAGGAAGCTAGGTAGACATAGGTAGGGTTCAAATGTCACCTTGCAGGGGGGTTGAAAGCAGACACTCCACTATCTACAAGCTTACCAGAGGGAAGGAAGCAAAGGCATGGCAAAAAGAAAAGGGAAGTGCTAATACTGAAACTATAATTACACGCAGAGTCCCCATTCAGTTTTGAAGGGTGGGATGGTGAAGAATTTGTGTTCCAGATAACTTTCAGCCTCAAAAGTAAAAGCAAGAGATTCAGGTGTCAGTAATGGTAAGTTTAAAAGGCAAATAATGGCAAGTTAAAAAGGGTACATGATAGATCATACTTTTTCAAATATTGATTGTTATTCTTCAGAACTGTGGAGTAATTTTTCTTGCTTATGCTTTTGTTGTCAGGTGGAAGAGGAATATGAAAATCCTCACTCAGTGGATCGTGTCCCAGTAGGAAAGTTGCCTCATCTTTGGGGCCAATCATTGTATGTCCTTAGCTGCCTATTAGCAGAGGTAATAGTGTTTCTTATATAGTAGGTGAGCTTATATTACACTTTGCTTTGAGGTGGTTTAGCCTTTAAGTACAATTTGGTTTTCAGGTAGCAGACAACATGTTTTCCAATGTACGTAACTCATTGAGGAGTAATTCTGAGCTTTCAGGACCTTTTTGGATATAGATACTTGCTTGTCTGTTTCTAATCAAGCTGCATAGGCTGCCAGATGTAGGAGGTATGTAGTTAGACACGAACGATGTCCAAGCTGATGTTGCAGTTCCAGAGCTAGGACTTTGCAGTATTGCAGTTCCACTGGGTTGCAGCTTATTCTGTGGCATAAGATGCCTACAGACTTTTTCCAGTGTGAGCCATGTACTTGTTAAAGGAAGCACTGAATATCTCAGTGGAGCTGCAAAAAAATCATTGGCCTGGTCAAAGTGCCGTAACTCTTGGTTCTGAAAAATGTTGCAAGAAGTGTTTTTACTGAATATATTACTCAGTGGCAGGGGTGGAGAAGCCGGGCTGTATGTTCTGCTATCCAACTAAAATAAAGCAATTGGTTTAGATTTCTTCTAGATGTCGTCAAAAGCCTTTTACATAATTTTTGTTTGTGTTACTTTTTTCTTTCGCTTTTATTCTAGGGATTTCTGGCTGCAGGTGAAATTGATCCCTTAAACAGGAGATTTTCCACTGGATTTAAACCTGATGTTGTGGTTCAAGGTTAGTGAGATTTTTAAGCGTTCTGAGGGAGCTGAATTACGTAATGCTGAAGTGCCTGCACACAGGAAAGAATAAAGACAGGTTTTAAAACGACATCTTGATAAGTCAAAGGAGAAGGACAGAAATCTTACGCTTGTGGCCATTCTGAACTTTCCTGGATATTTGCATGGCACATGAATGCTTTGGTGGTGCTATCAGAAGAAGAAAGGGCAGGCAAGAGGGTTATTTGTCTAGCAGTCTTTTTGCAGGAGGGGATCAGGTTTAACAAAGAATTTTTAAAAATAATAATTGTGAAAATTTCAGTGCTGGTCAGGGATTGGAGAATAGCATATTTAATCTTGCGGTGAAAAGGAAAATCTTTGTGGGTTCTAATGGGAAAGAGCAGGACTGACAGGAGACCAATTAGTTTAGTCTTTGTGCAGCCCATTTTCCGAGAGGCCAGGAGAGCAACGAGTGGGAAGGGTCTCTATACGTGGTGCTTACGTATAGGTGAGGAGCGAGCTAGAGAGCAGAAGGCAGCCAGACTTACGGCTATCTTTCAGGTTCTTCAGGAAGCGACTTCTTTTGTCAGTGCAGGAACAGCCAAAAAGACAAAATTAAGCAAACACCAGCTGATCAGCGGATAAAGGCCTTTTCAGAGCTAGCCTCTGCAGCTCTGGAAAAGCAACCAGCCATCTCATTTTTCAAGAACAGCATTCATCACTGATCTTGTGACCTTAGCAGCCAGCTGTTTAGTATCTTCTCTTCCCAGTCCACGCATTGATCAAAGTTGGCAGGAAGAAAATACTGAATTTAAGATTGGCCAAACGAGATCAGACTGATCAGCTCTGCTCAGCCCGGGGTCTTTGGAAGTGGCCAGTGAGAAATAGAGTGTAGAAAATGGGACAGATACTTTCATCGTTTCTGGCGGTCTGTGCACAGGGCTTCCTTGCCCCTGTTGGTGTCTCATGGCAGTGATACTCTGTTAATCTGAAGTGCTTAATTTCTAGTAGAAATAGAAATGCTTCCTTATTTTAAGTATTCTTTGACAAGTATTTCTAATGCAAAGAAGAATACTGAATTATTAGTCGTAAACCAGTAAGCCAGCTAATTTGGGCAAAACCCCAAGCAGAGCAGTAGATAGAACTGGGGCCTTGGGTTGTAAATTCCTCAGATTCTGGGCTTTGCTCTTCCTCTGCCATTTTATGGCCTTGGTAATGCTTATTGCTATACAAATAACAGCACCTGTTCCCATTGACTCAGCTGTGTTAATACAGTGTGTTGTATGAAAACAGCAAAGATTTTCCAGTCAGACGTTCCCTTGTTTTGCCAGGGGAACCCCTATGTGATTTGAGATTGAAAGGAACTGCACGATCCAACCTTCTGGTACTGAAAAAAAAAACAGAAAAAAATGATAAAGCCCCAAGCAACCTGATCTAACCTCAGAGCGGATCCTGCTTCGAGCAGGAGGTTGGAGTAGAGCCTTCTGGATGTCCCTTCCAACTTGAGTTATCCAGTGATCCAAAGTGGGGAAAAATGGCAAGATATATTGAGAAATAGAGAGCCTAAAGCTGTCCAACATCCCATCAGTAAAGAAAGGAGTAAGGCCTTTGTGCGTTTTTAGTCAACCGCACAGTAGTTAAGAGGAGACAGTAGAGACAGCCAGTTAAAAAAGAGATGTCTTTCTTAGCAGTGTTTTTTGTCTTCTGTTATGCAGTAACTGTTTTAGCAGAATCTAATGAAATTAAGAATCTCTTGCAAAACCATGGAATCAATGTTCAGAGTATTGCTGATATCCATCCACTCAGAGTGCAGCCAGCTCGCATCCTAAGTAATCTCTACACCATGTTGGGTAGGTATTTGAACACGGAAGCCTAACTCTACTGCTGTGCAAGGTATTTCTTTAATTTTTTTTCCTCCCTTTTCTACTGTCTCAATTTCTTTTCTTCCTTTCTTTGCTTCCAGGAATATTTGTGTATATGTGAATTTCTTGGATTAAAAAAATATACATTTGTGTATGAAGCTTAACAGAATTATAACTTCTGTCCTAAATAAGGAGCTCGGGGCAGGGGGGTAGGGAAATGAGCCTTTCTTGAAAAGGTGGCCAAAATATCGCCCTCTGCCGTGCTGTGATGGAGCTGGGCAAAAAATTGACTGTCTGTCTGTCTTTCAGGAACTATTTCCAGAGAGAAACTGGCTTTAAAAAAAAAAAAGCCTGGAAAATCTAGAAAACAAATGTTTCTTCTTTCAGAAGTCAAAATACTTATGTTTTGAGTCTGGAAACTGAGCAGCGTGGTTGCCATTCTACCCTGGGAAGTCTTCTACTCTGGATCAGGGAAGCCTTGCTGCTATCAGCATCCTTGGGCTGTCAAATTTTTGCTAATGTTCCTTCTAGCCCTGAGCTGACTTGAGGTGCTAAAGCCCTCCAGCTCCCTTGTAAACAAAGGAACCTTTAGATTGCAGGGTATTTGCTAACCCCGGGACTTTAAATACATTCCGCTTCCTCAGCAGCGACTTTGTTGTCCCTCTGAGCCTGCCAACTGGATTAAATAAATGCCTGAAAATTCTTACTGTTTCTACTTAACTTGAATAGAATTTCAAGTCAAGAAGACTTCAGACGCAGGCTCCTTTGATGATCCTTGCTGGGATGAATTGGGTCTTGGTAAAAAAAAAAAAAAAAAAATTTGCGTGTATTCCTAACTGAAAATAATTTTACTAGTTTCAAGCATGCCAGAAACTTGTGATTCAAAATTGTGGGCGTTGCTACAAAATAGAATTGAGGTGAGTGAGTCAGCGCTGTTAGATTCCTTTGCAGCATGGACAAGGGGAGCTGTATCATTCTGCATTTATGGCCCTTTTTCAGTGTTCCTGCGGCAGTCTCGTGTATGGATAATGCTGAGGGAGAGTACAAGACTATGCTTCCCCCCATCCCAAACCAGGAAGCCTTTGGAAACTTTGGTATATCCAAAGTAACAGGGCCTTCAAATAAGTCTTAAAAAGCATGCCCTTTAAATGGAGAAGGGAAATTGCATATGCTGCTTTTGGGCAAGAATTTCTCTTTTTATCACAAAGAACTTTTAACAAATAAAAGCTTGCAGGGCTTTCCTGAAGCTTGCATTTATTTTATAGTTGTTTATAACAGTTCTTTCACAGTGGGTGAGCAGGATGATTTAACATGTTGGTGTATTGGTTTTAACAATTGACTTTTTTGGGGTAATTCACAGTGGGTTTTTTTGTTTGTTTTTTTTGTTTTTTGTTTTTCATATGCTTGTTGTGCTTATACTTTTTGTCAGCCAGATTCGACTCAGCTCATGGCTGCTGGAGCAAAGGGTGCTGTGCAGAGCATTAGCTAATAAGCCACACTGGAGGTAGGCATACTAGTACTGAGCTCAGCATCTTGCTAAAATAGCTGTATGGTTTCTCACCAAGGAGGATCATGGACAGAGTAGCATATTTGCCAGCAAATGACAATATACAGGTGGCCTTTGCTGGCCTCTGTAGACTGCTGACCCTGTGCTTTGTATTCTTCCTGAATTTTATTAAACTACCTTTACGGGATGTGGATGAGGTCTGAAGAGGGCAGTCCTTCTTGCTGCTGGAATAATCTGAAGGTACAGAAGGGACTCTGGTACTCCTGCTAAGAAAAATCTCAAGAAGTTCAACAAAGGAATTGCCAAGTCCTGCGCCTGGGGAGGAATAACCCCACATACAAGTACAGACTGGTATCTAGCTGGCTGGAAAGCAGCTTTGCAGAGAGGGACCTGATGGACACAAAACTGAGCACGAGCCAGATTTCAGCAGAGAAGTCCAAGTGTATCTTGGGCTGCATTGCGTGGAGTGTTGCTAGCAGGTTGAGGGAGATGGTTCTTGCCCTCTACTCAGCACTGGTGAGGTCACACCTGGAGTGCTGGGTCCAGGTCTGGGCTCCCCAGTACAAGACAGACATGGACATACAGGAGCAAGTCCATCAAAGGGCCACTGACACCTTAAACATACCTTACACGGACTCCTTGACATCTGAAATATGAGGAGAGGCTAAGAGAGCTGGAATTGTTTAGCCTGGAGAAGAGAAGGCTGAGGTAGACCTCATCAATGTGCATAAATACCCAGATGGTGGGGGGAGCAAAGAAGATGGAGCCAGACTCTCCTTTGGTGGTATCCACTGAAAGGACAAGCTGCAAGGGACCTGAATGGAAATGCGGGAAATTCCGTTTAAACAGAAGAAAAAAACTTTTTTCTTGTGAGGATGGTATAACACTGGAACAGGTTGCCAATAGAGGTTTTAGAGTTAGGTTCAAAACCTGACTGGACATGGCACTGAGCAATGTGCTCTGATTGACCTTGCTTTGAGAAGGGGGATTGGTGTAGATGATCTCCAGAGGTGCCTTCCAGCCTCAGCTATTCTGTGGGAAAGGGATAGCAGCATGTGAGAAGGTCCCATCCCTAGAGGAACATGTACGGTATTCTCCATATATTTCTGCCTTGCCTGCTTCCGCTTTATTTGAAGAGCTGATCTAATTCTTTGGTGGTGTGAATAGAGTATGCATTGAATTGTTTCTCACTGATGGTGAATTTCTGCTGCTGATTCCAAAGCTCAAATTTCACATGCTTTTAAAACTAGCTTTTCTGGACTGAATCTGGCATGTTATATTGAATAACTTGTTTCCTGACCGGGCATGTTTGTATGTTCTGTAGGTGGGTTCCATGTAGAGTCAGAGCTTCTGGTTTTGGCAGCTTTTGAGGTTTGGTACAGGTTCAGACTTTGTCTGTTCTTCTTATCCTGTTTAAGGTGATGCTGGTTATTATCTGTGACTGAGTTCATTTGGTTTCCGTGGTTTGCATGCATACATACATACATACATACATATATCTTGTTGCCATTCTAGACGATTAATGAATCATCATTTGCACAAGTGTTAGCTGGACTTTTCATAGCTGATACTCTGGTTCTGGAATTTGATACTTAAGGGTTTTACTGTTGTTGCTCTTCATGATGTAAAAAGAATTAAGGTAACTCCTCTGCGTGTGCATCTGACTGATTCAGAAGTTGATAGGGATTCATTAATTCCTTCTCTTCACTTAAAAAGTGTGGTGGTGAAATAACCATGAAAAGATTATCTGTCTTTGTATGTGGATGTGCTTTAGGCTTTAATAGGCCAGAACTTTTAAGCTGCTACAGTGAAAGTACTGCAATTTCTGTTGCATATTGATAGCCTGGTTTTTGAAAGGGCGTACATCCTGTTGTTCTTGGTAGGTAGCTTTGACTGCGGAGCAACGGCTATAAGTGAAGAACCTGATCCCATGGCCATTGAAGCCATTATTATTATTATTATTATTACTTTTTTTTTTAGTTCATTCAGGCCCTTGAAGAAGCCAAAGCCGTAAGGTATGTGGTATAGCTGTAATACTAATGGGTGCTACAAAACACACCAGTCCACAGCATCCAAGTCTGTTGTTTTATTTCATTCCACCCTGCCAATGTCAGTGAAGTAGATCCCTTTGTCTAAAAAGGTTGTTACGGAAAACAACACAGCAGGGACTCAGTTCTTTTAAATATCTGGAGAAGAACAAGAAATGTTAAGTAAGACTTCTCTTTTTTCTTTGTTTTTCTTCACAGGCCGGAACAAGAGCATGCAACTGAGTGGACGGCCACACCGACACATTGGAGTGCTAGGCACCTCCAAGCTGTATGTGATAAGAAATCAAATATTTGCTTTTACCCCTCAGGTGAGCATATAAAACTAGCAGGGAAATCAGTTTACTCAATGGCTAATCATTAATGAAGGGTTTTGCTGTTATGTACCGTCATTCTACTTTAGATGGAACAGGGCTGATAAAACAGATGTACTTTGTTTTCTTTTTTGGGGAGCTGAATGATCAACATGATAGGAATGCTGATAAATCTCTCTTCTGCTATATAGAGTCTGGCTTCTTTGGCTTCTGCCTCAGAAGAACACAGTAAATCAATAGTACAAAGTTGTTACTGATCTCTGCCCTAACTAACGTTCTAGCTGATGGAATAATTTTTCCAAAAATGGGTCACTTAATACATCTGCCTACTGATTGCTTTGATGGAAAATCAAACTTCACCTAAGCATGCTAAGAATTATAACCTCCAGGATGCTAAGATGTCATCTTTTTGTTATTTGTTTTAAGGGTCCGTAGTACTGAGAAAAGGATGGTTCTCTCTTTGTTCTGTGTTTAATGCCTTTTTTTTTCAGTATAGCTAGGAGCTTGGATCTTCCCAGAATCAATGGCTCTTTTTATACATTTCGTGAAATGCTACACCCTTTTAATTGTAGCCTTATTCTAGTGTTTAGTATTAGAAAGCTAATGGGTCCTTGACTCCAAACATGTGGGACTGAAGCAGGATAAAGAGTGCTCACATGCTGCTAACAGTTGTTTGACTAATGTAGTCTTTAAATTCTGGTGGAGGAGATTCCGTGGACTCCACAGAGGGCCTGCTGCAGTGCTTCCTAAAGTCTAAACATAATGAAATTTGCTGCAAAAGCTGTCGATGCCTTCCTGTTCTTCCACAGGTCCATTGACTGTGGCCAGCTTTATAACAAATTTCACATGTGGAAGATCGGTTATGGTGTTGTCTCCTCTGTCCCCCAAATCTCTCTTTCCGAAGTTAGGCAAAAGTTCTTCAGGATCTTTTTTAATTGTGCCCTCCCCCAAATTTCTTTGTTTGTCCAAATCTTACAATGCGTTGGGCAAAGTTGGACCCTGTATTCCAGCTGAAACCTTGCCGTGTGTCAAGTATGCACATGCGTATGAATACATTCCAAAAGGGCATTTATCTTTGCATCAGGAAGACACTTGCAATTCCTTCTTATTCCATAGCTGAGCAAAACCTCCCTGACTTTTTCCATTACACTTCTTCAAAGCCGGACCTTCTCCCCACTCTGTGATTCTTTTCATTTTCCTAAATTAAAAAAAAAAATAAATAAACACACAAAGATAGCACTTAACTCATAAGTGCCGATCTTGAGTAGTGTCCACAGATTTTATATTTTTGTAGTCTGTATCCCATCCAAGTCTCTAGTGAAAATAACAACCATGTGTGGGGCAAAGGCTGGCCTGGCCCCCTTTAGCCGCTCTCTGAATCGGAGAGAGCAGTTGGTAACTACCTCGGGAACAATTTTTTAAGCAGTTCTACATTATCAGATGTTGTTTCCTTTCTCTCACTAGTGTCAAAAGCTTTGCAAAACTAAAGATATGTCTGCCACTTCCTATTGCTTTCAAAGAAGGAAACTGGGGAAGTTAAACCAGTTTACTGAGAGTAGTTTTTAACGTGACTGTTTGGCCATCTTACATTATCAGTTTGTTATTGCCTTGGCACTCTCAAACTGGCTTTGTTCTGCTGTGTTTTCAGGCACTGGAGCTGGATTGACTGGTCTCTTATCCTGGCTCTTCCTTTTTTAAAGACTGGTAGTGTGTTTGCTTCTCTGCAGATTTCTGGGACGTGTTCTCCCTGAGTTCTCAAAAATAATTGCTAGTGGTTCAGAGACTGTTTTGGCTAGTTTCTTACGTTCTGTGAAGTAGTTTCTGCAGACTGTGCCAGCTTGGTTTTAGGTGCTCTTTAACATTTTCTTCCCATACTCAGGCTGAACGCCTATTATTTTCTTAAAAGTAGTATTACAGGTCACAATTCTGCTTTTCTATCAGTAAAGGCAGCATTGAATACTGCAGTTTGTCCATGTCCTCTCTTCCTATTTATTAACAGACCTGTAGTTCCTTTCTTTGTGCATTACTTCTGATGTGTTTATAGAGTGTTTTCTCATCAACCATTATGCGTCTTACTAATTGATGTTTATTTTACATCCCAGCTTCCCTTTTCTGCTCTTCCCCAGTGATTATGCAGTTCCTTAACTTCTGTTGTGGCTTATTCAACATTGTCTTCATTGTTTGTCCAGCTCTTTTGGTTTCCAGCTCCTGATGTAGCTACAACAGTCCCGTACTGTTATTCTTAGCTTTCCTTTGTAGTGAGCAATTTTACCATTGTACACTAAATGCAACTTTTGCCACGGTAACTGTCAGCTTTTCTGTGTTCTGGTTGTCTTTCAGATTGTTCCCAAGAGACATACAGTTCCGACTTTCCAGTCCCCAGTGTGTGCTTAAACCTGTTTGTTGTTTTTTGTTGCTATCGTTGCTCTTCCGCATGTAGGGTACTTCCAGATCATAGGTTACTGTAATTAATGATTGGGAAAACTGTACTTGACAAGCATGATCATCTCCTTTTTATTTGAATGGCTTGTTTTTTCATAGTCAGCCTACAAGTATAAGAACGTTTTCTACACAAGCATGGATCTTTTTGTGATAGTAGCAGCCCACTTAGGTTAATTCATGCAGTCTGCACTCTGGTCAAGAATAGCTCATGTGGCTTTTGTGAGCGAGTTAATGGGAGGAAGTGAAAAAGAAAAATTAAGGAAAGCAGTGACATCTACTCACGCATGTTATTTCTCTGTCCTCTAGTTTACAGACCAGCATCACTTCTATCTGGCTCTAGACAATCAGATGGTTGTGGAGATGCTCAAGACAGAGCTGGCCTACCTCACTTCTTGCTGGAGGATGACAGGGAGACCAACCCTAATGTTTCCCATCACACACACAATGCTCGGTAGACTCCGTTTTCTCTGTTTCGAGCACAGTAGATTGCTGTGGAGGAGTAGGGTGGGGGTAGTTCTGAGAGGAGACAGATGGCATGACTGTTTCAACATCTGAGTTTTAACATCAGAAGTACTATTTAACTTTCTCAAGTCTGTGCTGAACTTGAATGACATGGTTATATTTCATTTTGATTTCCCTAGACAATCAGATGGTTGTGGAGATGCTCAAGACAGAGCTGGCCTACCTCACTTCTTGCTGGAGGATGACAGGGAGACCAACCCTAATGTTTCCCATCACACACACAATGCTCGGTAGACTCCGTTTTCTCTGTTTCGAGCACAGTAGATTGCTGTGGAGGAGTAGGGTGGGGGTAGTTCTGAGAGGAGACAGATGGCATGACTGTTTCAACATCTGAGTTTTAACATCAGAAGTACTATTTAACTTTCTCAAGTCTGTGCTGAACTTGGATGACATGGTTATATTTCATTTTGATTTCCCCCCCCCCCCCGATAAACTTGCATCTCCCCATCATATCCTTACTATTTCTGTTCAAAGAAGTTTGATAGAAATGCCTTTGGAACCTGTCATGAGTGGAGTGTGGATTTGTTGTGTTCTGTTTGTTTGTTTTTTGAATAAACTAGTATTGATAGCACTTCTGGGTTCTGTTTTTACTTATGTCTTTTTTACTTTGTAGAGAACTCCCAGTAATGCACTTAGCTAGCCCTGATAACTTGACAGCAGGTTGCTAAGCTTCAAAATTCTTTAAGTATGTTTGTTTTTCTTTAGTTGATGATGGTGCTGACATTCATCCAGCAGTTCTCGGCACCATAAGAAAATTAGAAGATGGCTATTTTGGAGGCGCAAGGTACTGTCGATATCCTAAGCCATTTTTTTTCTTTTTTTTCTTTTTTTTTTAATAAATCCTATGTAAGCCGTGTGCCTAAGCATGTGATATGATGCATAGGCCTTGTACTGGCACTCTTTAGAGAGAAGAACTTCAACTATAATTATTATGTGGAAATCGGATGGCAGCTGTACCTACAATACAATGGGAAGGGTGTATCTCCCTGAGAACTGTATCATCTGTGGTTGCCATTAATAGATAATAAAAAACTAGTGTCAAACCTTGGAAATACAAAACCTCAGTCTTAGCTGGTCTTTCGTTGTTAAGAAGTGATTATCTTTTTAAAATACAGAATAGGTTTTAAACAGGAATTCCATGTAGTACTTGTCAGCATATGTTTCATTCCAGTACATATAAAAGTAATTTAATATGATGCCACGTTACTTCCCTATTGTCTTTTTGTTTGCTCTGCCTTAATTAGTATCTTTCTGTGATAATTACGAGGGCTTTCTGTCATCCTAGCAGCACTGCAGCTCTGTGAAAAGATGCTGTTGTCATACAAACTTCTCAGCCCCATATTGTCATGTATGATCCCTGGCATGTAGGTCTTTGGTCAGGATCTCCATATAGGCATACAGAACTTTGCATAATGAGGCTTTGGGTTAGGCCTCTAAGTGTTACTGTAACACAGATTAATAACTAGATTAGTACCCAGCTGGATCTGCAACTATCTTTTTGCTTTGTTTTTCTCAGCATGAGTTTCTTCCTAGTTACCAAAGGTAGATTGACAGTAGGACTGGTAGATTTTTGAGGGAGCTATTGACAGCTCAGTGAGCTTTAATGAGCACCAAAACAGTGGCTGTTAACTCTCTCTGGCATGCTTTGCTGTTTGCAGGGTGAAGGTAGGCAAACTATCAGAATTTCTTACCACTTCTTTCCATACACATCTGAGCTTCCTGGATCCAGACTGTGATGTAAAACTGTTTGATGACCCTAATGAAGGTCGTTGCAGTCCTGACAGTGAATATGGATTCGAAGGCTATCCAACAGATTTCTGTGAAAAAGGTGACAGTTTTTCACTTCTAGAATTTTTCATCTTTCAAATATTATCAGTAGAGCATGGGCTTGCCTAGAATACAGAATCTGTTTTGTACACATCTGTTACTCATTCGTAGGTTTCCTGTGCATCGATATGATGACAGTATGTGCATGACTTATTTTGGAGAAGGAGTTTGCTCCTTCCCTACGTATGCTTTGTGTACGCTTCCCACGTTTTAGTAGGATGTTGCCCAGTAACTGCTGCAGTAAAGCTGAGTCTGAAGAATCAGCAGACTGAGTGTGTGTGGAAGAGGGTGGAGGTAGAAGGAAAGCGTGAGGAGACACAGATGTGGCTATGTGTGGAAGGGCTGATCTTTGGACTACCAGCTAGAGAAAAGCCCTTTTGCTTCCTTTCAAAGGGAAAAATAACTTCTAAATGCAACTGTTCAAAAAGGAAATCTGCTTTTAAAAGCTTTTTTCTTTTCTTACCGGTTTATTCAGATTAAGAAATCCCTTATGATATTCTTGCATTTTTGTGTCCAGAAGGTATAAGCAACAATGGAGTAATGTATCTAAAACAGAAAGCACTGATAATTTATACATGTTTATTTTTAATAAACTTTTTTTTGTATGTGTCACACTAGAGAGCCAGGATGAGCTGGATCAGTATATAAATGATATTCTGCAGAGTACAGCACTGAAGTCATACCTGCCTCCAACTTCAAAGACTGCTGATCAGCCTCCGGTGTTCAGTGCAAACCATTCTACACGAGAGATACTGTCAATAATGGCCAAGACAAAGGGCTTGGAGGTTCCAGGTATTTCTGTTTAACACTTTTTTTAATAATAACGGTAGAAAACCTGTTTTAGGTGCTAAAAGGATAAATTCATGTATTTCTCAATTCCGTTTTTAAAAAGAAGTAGTGGTGCAAGCATGCAGTAGTTGTGAAGAGTCCAAAATCGTTGCTATAGCATTCCCACAGAATCTGATGCCATGGTGGGTATATAAATAACCTGCAATGAAATGGAACATTGAATCAAAGTAGATGTTAGGAAAACTGATGCAGCTTGTCAGTTTGCTAGAATTCTAGAACCTGAGTTAGTCAATTTATCTTTTTTTGGTTTTGCACCATATTAAGGCAAACAATTTTATTTTAGTAAAGTTGTGGTGAAATGAAAAGTTTGAATACCAGAAAACATCAGTATACTTGCATCCTCTAAATCTAAAAGAACAAATAGAGTAGGGAGGGAGGACAGTATTCCTGATGATGCTATATTGCTAATAGTTTGGTTGGAGGATTTGCAAATTGAGTCGATGCATTATTTGGGCTTAAGTAGATTCCAATATATACAGTACTACATGTGTAGGTATGTAGTATCCAGTGTTCTGGTTAAAGGAAGACTTGCCTTAACTCCAGTGGACTTCAGGTTCTCTCTGCTCATAACGTATATGAATAATTTTCAAGCATTTTCTTAGTCTTTTCTCCCATCGTTCATAGGCAATATCATCTGATCCTGTAATAACTTCAACACATGAAGTTAACTGAGCGTTAGCCTGCCTTTGCCATCACCGTTTTAGTTATGATATCTTATCAGTTAGACCATTTCCTCCACGTACGTTCCTCCAGCAAAACGTGTAAAATACTGAACTAGGTCAGGTCATTTGGCTGTGAGGCATGGGCTGACATAACGGGCATCAGCTTAGCATGTAATGCCTGTACCTTTGACATTTTGATCTTTAAAATTCTTGGAACAAGCCTGCAAGAAGATAGGATCAAAACTGGGAGGGTGAGCTTGTCTCTTGAGTTCTGCTATCTCAGAAACGTTGCCTCGTCTATTTTGACTCTCAGGTTTTTCTGTTGTCAGCTAGTATAATTGCTTTGTGCAGGTGCTTCACTCTCCATGTTATTGAAACAGGTATTTTTTGGTGGCTTTGCTTTCCAGCTGTTTCTATGTCTCTTCCCACTAAAGTTCTGAACACGCACCGGAAGTCTCTGAATCTTGTTGATACTCCCCACTCTTTTGAGGCAAAGGTAAACTGTGGGAATGTTTATGCTGTTTGTGTTTTTCAGAATCAGTGCTGTGGCCTTTCCTGTAGTTCCCAGCCAACCCAACATGCTTATTCCCATTTTCCTTACCTTTACAGCCTAGCCATGAGGCACTGAGTAGCTCCTCCCTTGTTTTGGGGATTTTTTTTTCTTCTGGGTTGGTAGAAGGCTTTTGGTTAAATAGGTATTGTCAAATAGAAAATTTCTAATAGCGTGTGCAAAACAGAAAATAATACTATACGTGCTTATTTTTAAGGGTCAAAGCCCACATGATAATCTCAGTGGGTTCAGTTGGGACTAAAGGGGAGGACAGGATGTGCACAGCCTTTCAAACTGTTCTACAAGAAATACTACTTCAAATAATTTGTGGGCAGGAGATGAGTGTGGGAAAGGACAGATGTCCTTAAGGCACGAAGATGGGGCTGGGCTGGACGCTTGTTCAGTCCTGGTAGAGGTGAGCGGCTGCCAAGGGTGGCTTTGGGAGGTTGTATCCAGCCTCCTGAAGGATTTTGTTGTACAGAGTATCCGTGGAAATGATATCTTAGGAGCATATTAATTGCTGAATGGCTTATTAAACAAAAGTTCTCTTCATCCAGGAACTGACCACAGCGTTGCGTTATCTGATTTGTTGACATGTATGTTTTATAAGCTTGGGAAACTTTTCGTGGCAACATCTGCATTTGTAGAGTGCCATACATATTCAGGGTAGGGAGAGAACTTAAAGCTCTAACTGATTACAACTACGTTTGTTAATCAAAAAAAAAGAAGGTCTCCTTCTCCTTCTAACTTTGAAAGTAACAGCACGTGACAGGAAAAACATGCAAATAATTTAGTTTCCTCCTTTTACAATATGTCTAGTTTTGTCCAGAAATGGCTTTTCTTGTTGATTGAACAAAAATTTAGAGGCAAAGATGCATTCTGACGTTTGCACTTCCCGGGATTAGTCTCCTTTTCATGTGTGTGGTGGTCGGACAAGAACTACGTGATGTCTCTGTATTTCAAGTGCAGATTTGTGTTGTGAGGTCCCTCGTGTTCTTTAACGGGAAGCCGCAGTTCACGGGTTTGATCTGCTACTTTTTTCAAGGTATTTTCTTTGTTTTTCATCTGTCTTTGTTATCAGGGTTGTGAAAATGTTTTGCACTTACCTAAAGATGCTCATGGTGATTTGGATTGCAGGAAGCTTGTTGAACAGCTGAAAGAATGTCCAACGATTCATGATCAAGCAGATATCTTATATATCTTGCATATATTAAAGTAAGTTATCTGAGTGTAAAGTTCAACATCTTGAATTTTGGTTACAACTGTCTGATTATTGTGCAAAAGCTTGCCACTGTTTGAATAAACTGTTTGGGGCTGGTTCAGGGTTTTTGGGGAAGACGTTAAAATAGTTTTGTGCTTTAATGGAAATACTCTCTGTTAGCTTGGTTACACAGGTAATCATGGATACAAAATACACTTGTGCAAATTTCAATGAGTGGATTGACACACAATTGCAAATACATCTAGGCTGTCAAGATCACAAGTGAAATGTGCAAATCCTTTACGTGAATGAGAATGTGTCTTGGCTATATTTGTGGCACTTCATTAAGTTCACACAAATTTGGTGTGATTTTTATGCACGAGGAGGGAAGTGTGTGTTAGCACAGTTAGTGAATTAATGCAGAACAGCTGTATTTGGAGGGATATTTTATCTAGTCATCTTCTAACTTAAGCACGAATGCGGTTTTAATGAGTGGTCACTATTTTTCTCTACTTGCGTGTTTAAATGCCCCATTGGCTAAACCCAGCGATCTTTTAGAAAGTTCTTTGGAATAGTCTAACCCAAGCCGCTGGGGTTAGTAAATAGCTGCTGATTAAAGGAGTTTGGTGGGAACAAAGCACAAGCGCAAACCAACAGAATCATCATCTAGAACATATTATTGTGTGTATGTGTGCGTGCGTTTGTTTTCCCCTAGGCAGGAGAACGCTGCTGGATTCTGGCAGAAAATTAGCTTAGGGTTAAAAGACGTGTGTTCTTACCACAACTGGGCTTCCTTATTATTACACAAATTAGTCTTTTGTTTTAGTCCTCCTCCTGTGAGGACCTCTTCTTTTATCTTCTTATTTTCTTGAGCAAAACGCTTAGCAGCTTTTCTTAAAGAGCAAATGAGATCCTGAAAAATTGTCATTTTGTTGTTAGCCAAACATTACACCCTTACCTTCCTGTTCTGGACCTGTTTCACTGCAGCACTGTCACTAGAACAGGAGTTGAAAGGTCATTCTGTAATGCATCAGAACGTGGTCAACAAGAAGCACCCTTCTTGCCGTTGTACGGTGAATTTCAAAACCAGGAGAGAAACAGGAAGCTTCTGCCTTATCAGTATCGTAAGAAGTGCGAAGTTTGGTTAAAAGCTAAGAAAGAGGCAAGGCAAAAAATTTGCAGAGTCCCTTGAGGTATCTGAAACACAGGTGCGGTCTTCAGCAGTACTGAAGAAATTGCTGAATTCTGCTATTAAAGAGCAACAACTGGGGAATACTCCTCCAGCAAAACATCCGTATGCATGCTTACTTTAAACCTCATAGTAATTCCTTTGGGTGGTTGCTTTGAAGTCACAGGCCTACGGCTAAGTGAGTGCTCAAGTTAGTATGAAAGTTCCTGTTAGCAAGGCTTTTTGCCCACGTATAACTGATTTCTAGTGAAGGCCCGCATGCCCCTTGTACTTGTTAAGTCTGTCACCGGAATGAGGAATTGGATCAAAATCAGGCTGCTCACTGTATGATAGGCTCTAAGCAGTGTAGATTTGTAAGGTTCCTGCTTTTTCTCTGTGTCCTTCCTGAAAGACTCCTTAGAAATCTGTTTGTTTTGTCTAATAAAAATCACTTTGTCTCTCTTTTATGGCAGAGGTCCTGATTGGGATACAGGGCTAAATGGACAATACGGCGTCACAGTTCATTGTCTACTCAATGAGCTCTACAGAAAGGCAGGCCTCAATCAAGAGTGGGGCTTAATCCGTTATATTTCTGGTATACTTAAAAAGAGAGTGGAAGTCCTGGCTGAGGTATGACAAAAATAAACAATGCTGATTCAGTTTTCTGCCTGGAAACAGACATATATGAGCTAGTCTCTAGTGCAGACTGTGCTCGTAGCTCTTCTGGTCTTACCTTACAGCATTATGGTGCAGCATTTCTCAGTAAACCTCTGTTGCTTTTCTGCTCTAAAATCTTACCACATCATCTCTACCTTTGATGAATACTAAGAACTGGGCTAAGGCTGGAGCGGACTGAAAATGTTGAACTGTAAATGACTCTGAAGGCTGCGTTTAATCTGTATTATCACAGAAGCTCAATTATGTACTTCGAAACCTGTAGTTACCATTGTTAATAATGTATTGCTATTGTGTATAAGCATTTTTGAGGACCAGTATATCAAGATGCTAGAGACTGTGTGAAACCGTTGTCTGATTATTCCTGTCCCACTGGGCATACAGTCTGTTGTGTGAGTATATGTGCATGTACAGAGGCATTAGAAAGTCTGGAACTATTTAAGGTTAACAAGAAAGATCCACTGTAAAGGTATAGATTTGGTTTTGAACATTATAAAAATGTTTCCTTTCAGCTGTTTTAAGCATTTGTTTAATCTCCTGTTTATCCTTGCGTATTTCCCAGGGTATCTTTCTGGCCATTCCTGGGCATCTTCAAAGCTTTGACTGTCATACCTAGAATGACCTCTTTTACTGACAGTCAAATCTGTGGGGAGCAAACTGTGATGGTTGCCCTGTGTGATTTTCCATTTAGTATGTACCCTTTTTCTATCCTCAAGACATTATGGATGAGCTGTACAGATATGCTCACAGAAGGTTATGTATGTTAAATTAATAAGATATCGACAAAGAACTGGGGAGGACAAGACGAGAGATTATTTGTGTTGTTCCACCTTTATGGAGGGAAAATATACTCTTAAAAATCCGAGGAACGTTGCTCTGTGAGGCCTTTGATTCAGGGTGCTACAACAGGTTAGCTAAACACCCGCTTTCGAAGGAAGTCGATATAAAACTGGTACTGAGGGAAGCACCTGTTTCAGAATGTATTAGAGCGCCTAATTCAGGAATATGATGCCATGTATTTTGTTGTGTTTCTTTAAGAGAAATATTAGTGCATTGGTTTTTTAGCTAATACTGCCATATTTTTCATTGATTATATATATTTTTTTGGTCTTTAACCTTTATCGTAAGCATTTTCTTAAATTTTAAGTCCTTTATTGATCTGTCTGGTCCCGCTGGAGTCCCTAAACGTTACGTTGCTGATTTCACTAAGGGGAAGGAAGGTTTCCGGCCTGGGCAGACTCTCCTTGCCCTGTTAATGTCAGTGGAACTTTGGCAATATGTATTAGTTTGCAGTATTCTGCTGGATCTGTACGTTTGGTAATTAATTGAAATGCACTTAGAAATCGCTAAAGAAATGCTTCATTTTCTGGAATTAAAGCCTATCATTTCCACATGACTCAGAGAAAGGTCTCTTGCTTTGTCACTTTGATAGGCTTGTACAGACCTTCTGTCGCACCACAAGCAACTGACAGTGGGCCTGCCACCAGAACCCCGTGAGAAAACCATTACTGCGTAAGTTGGACCTCTGTCTCAATTCTGGAAGCAGCCTGCCTTTCGGCTTTCTGCTGTTATATCTTTATTTTCAAACCTGTTTTTCACCATCAGAAGGAGTTGCAGGCACCAAGGCAGAAAGGCCTGTGCTGCAAAGATGTTCTTGGGATGACTTGGTTCCAGGGCACACTGGAGAAGTTAATAGCAAGTGCTTGAGTTACTGCTAAGCGTGGTTTGCTTTCTTTCAGCCCATTGCCACCTGAGGAGCTCGCAGATCTTATTTATGAAGCCAGCGGCCAAGACATCAGTATTGCAGTCCTGACACAGGTATACAGCATGTGATAAAAGGGTTATTTAAGCTGTGCCCAGGGTGATGCTACTGTTTATTTGTGTGGCCAGTGATTGAGAAGGCAGACCTTAACAGGTGCCTTTATGGATTTGTCCTCACAGGAAATGATTATGTACTTGGCGATGTATGTCCGGTCACAGCCTAGCCTTTTTGCAGAGATGCTCAGACTGCGCATTGGTCTGATAATTCAGGTGATGGCCACTGAGCTGGCTCGGAGTCTGAACTGCTCAGGTAAGAGCATTTTACCGTGAGAGATGTTTATGGCATTGTTCCTGCCTCACCTCAGTGGTTGACTTTTCTTTCATACATATTAAATTCTCTGTTAACTTCTTCATTCAATGTGTGCGCTTGCAGACTTGAAAATAACTTTCCTTTTTGATTTAATGAAAGACCCCCCCCTGCACGTGCTTCTTCAAACTGATGTAGGTTTTAAGTACTTAGGTTTCCTAGCTTTTAGTAAGTGAGGTCCAGATCATGAAATTATATGCATATGTATTTAGGAATTCAGTGTCATTAATGTCAGTGAGAATTAGGCCCCTAGGTACACTTGAATATTTGAGCCTTGATTATTTATAGTTCTTGTAGTTTTTACTCAAATCAATCTGTAGTGGTATTTGTCTTTTTTTTTTCCTTCTTTTTTTTTTTTCTTTAACTAGGGGAAGAAGCTTCAGAGAGTTTGATGAATCTAAGCCCCTTTGATATGAAAAACCTTCTACATCATATTCTGAGTGGAAAAGAGTTTGGTGTGGAAAGAAGCTGTGAGTTGTCCATTTGAGTACTTGTATACGTTATGTGAGAACTGCAAATGCAATTTGAGATTGTCTTGTAACTATAAGTCTGCTCTCCAGTCACATAAAATAAGAGTTATAGATAATGTATGAAACACAGATGGGCAATACCCAGTTCCACCTAAACCTGAGAAAAAACTTCTGCACTGTGAGGGTGACTGAGCATTGGAACAGGTTGCCCAGGGAGGTAGTGGAGTCTCCTTCCCTGGAGATATTCATAACCCATCTGGATGTGATCCTGGGCAATGTGCTCTAGAGGACCCTGCTTGAGCAGGGGGGTTGGACTAGATGATCTCCAGAGGTCCCTTCCAACCTCAACCATTCTGTGATTCTGTAATACATGTGTGTGTCTGCCAGGAGGATCAATTGAACATATTTAATGAAAGCTGTCTTACATTGAATTTGATTGCATCAAGTTTTCAATAATATGAATGCAAACTTTGAAATGAAAAAAGCTTAATGTGACCAGACTGCAAACCATAAAAAGTGTATGTCTAACCTGACTTCAAGGCGTGTGTCTGCGATAGCCAGGTATTCCTGACTGGCACTTCAGCTGCCTCCTGGGCTCATTCTTAAGCCCTCACAGACTTGCTGTATCTCTGATGTCTTTTGAAGCTATAGTTGCTCAGTGTCTTAGAAAATCAGTCCCCAATACCCACGTATGGATTTAGGCCCTCCCACTTGACATAGTCAGGTTTGAAGCATTGACTAATGATTTGAATGGCTGCTTTCACCAAGAGTCCTGTACACTGGAAAAAGGATGCGTCTTTTTTCTCTTCTAGGTACAAATTCATTTGCTTGCCTACCCCTAGAATTTAAAAAATGTCCGTTTGTTTCTTTTAGTGCGACCTGTAGATTCCTCTTCATCTAGCCCTGCAATTTCTATTCATGAAATGGGACATTCTGGAGCAACCAAAACAGAAAGAAGTGGTATTACTAAACTGAAGAGTGAGATGAAGCAGGTGAGGGTTTTCTGTCAATGAGTTCATCAGAAAACACAGCTGTTATGGAACTTTTTCACTTTTTTTCCCCTGGATTTGTGCATATTAATTTCAGGGGACCAAACAGATTCTTGGTAAATCACAGAAATTTCCAAAGATTGTTTGATTTAAAGCTGATCACTAAATACAGCGAAGAAGGGAATACATTCCCTTTTTTTGTTCTTGTTTCACATTCTGAACATAAAAGAACATGAGCAATCTCTAATGCGTTCATGGCATCGACTTTAAATCAGTATTTTTTTTTTTAAATCATTTTTAGCTAAGAAAAAGTCAGATTTACAAAGAGAAGCTTTGATGAGTTCATTCTTGTACTCCTCGTGAATCTCTAGTATGGTCTATGTGTCACTTGGGAAAGATACACTTGAAGAAAAGTAGTATTGGGTTGCTTTCTTCCTGTTTTTCCTCAAGAGCAGAGGGATGATTACTGCTAGAGCTTATTTTTTTTGAACAATTTTAATACTGTAAATTACACAGCAGCTGAGGATGTGTAGAGATATCGTAGAAAATGCCTCCAAAGTATTCTGAATGGATCTGACTGATGATTTTGTTGTGAGTGTTTAGATTTTGTTTGTTTGTTTCCATTAGTAATTTTTATTTGCTGTAGGTGAATACGAAGGTAATTATCAGAGGAAAATACATTTATAAGAATAAAGTGGTATATATTAAAAACATATTTTAAAAAGACTCTCTCTCCTGAGAGCTTAACCAGCAAGCCTTCATTTCATCTGAGGACGTTTCTGTGAATTTCTAGAAATGTATATGTTTTCCTTTGACTGTATGAAACTGGCTTGTAAAGCTTTCAGAATGGAGTGGCATTTCTGTATAGTCTTAAAAATAGAACATGTTAATGTTGATCCAAAGATTAGTTAGTACTTCCGTATGTGGTATGGATCAAGCGGGGAAGCAAAAGTTACTGAGAGAAGTGCAATTTCTGTCTTATGAGATGTGATCATGGTGTTTGAGCTGTACTGCTACCGTATTCTGGCTGAGGCTGCCTCGTTCCCTCCCCTGGTGCAGCAGTGCCTGTGTAAATGGTGCTAGGTGCTTACTGCAGGAACCTTTCCAGGCTCTGAAGTGACTTTGGTAATTCAGTTTGAGCATGGCTGTCAGTCTCAGAGCAAACGGTGAACGTCAAGCTTCGTTTCCAGGAAGGAATAGGGATGTGGCACTAGGTGGCAGCATTATTTTATTCTAAATATAGAGGTAGGACTGAAGCTGAAACCCTTTGGAGTGTGTTGAGATTGGAAAGGTATTTCCTACATTGTTTTTGCGTTAGACAGAAATATTTTTGTTGCAGAGAGGAGTTAACTCTTCTTGCTTTGTTGCCCCCATCTTTCTATTCATGCTGCCTCCCACCATGTCTCACTACATTCTAAATAAACCCCTAAACGCTAATTTAGTGGCATACTGGTGGGGGGAAGGAGGCTCAACTTAATATTATGAGGAACATTTCAAGTACTTGCACCAACATCTGTCTACACAAGAGCTGATGAGTTGAGCAACCACAGCTCTCTGATTCCTGCAGCTGTTTGAGTCTGGTAAAATCAAGCCTTTACCTGGATAGCTAGTCTGAACCATTAACATTTAATTAAGGGGCAAGGTTTGAGAGGGCAGTTACAGAACAACATCATAGGTGTGAGGTGCTGCATCCACATTTCTGTGAAAATTTTGCCTTGCAACTGTTTGCTCAGCACTGCCCACCCAGTTGGCAGCTCACAGATTTTCTTCAGCAAGGTGACCTTTTAATGCAAACAAGCTACTGACATCATAACAAATGGTGAATAGAAGTGGAAAATTTTGGGTTTTTTTCCAACCCTGAATCACAGGGAGAGTTTTGCCTGTGTCTTAAACTGTGTTTGTTTGTGTTTGCCAAGCAAGAGTTAGATGGGGGAAGCTTTTGGTTGCATTGCAGCAAAGCAGGTTCCTGGCACATCAGGGTCAGCCTCCTGGTGAGTCTGGGAATCAGAAGCAACTCTCCCAATGTCAACGGAAGCGCAGCAGTGCAAGAGGCCAGAGACGGTCATGGCTTTCCTCTGAGGAACTGAGCTTATTCTATGCTACTTGTCTTTTCGTGGATGGATTACTTAAACTTATTTGTGTACTGTTCTGTCGTGTCTGGCTGGCTGACTTGTTGGTGTCTGTTTTTTGTTTCGTAGCTCCTCCATGAGGGCCATTCTTTGTCCAGCACCATGTTCGCTTCCAAGTCCATGGTAAAATGCCATCTGCAGACTTGCATCTTTTCTTCACTGTTTGTGTGAAAAGGCTCCAAATGCCTCTTGTGGCTTCTCCTGCCTAAGAACTTGTTTTCAAACCGTGCTGCTTTGTTCAGTTCACCTTCATTGGGAATGAGTTCTTATTTGTAATCTTAATAGAAGTTCAGAGTCTCTCATTCAGATCCATTTAGTTCTTCTGAAAGTTAAGCAGTTGTAGATTAAGCAAAGTAGCAGATTCAACTACTTGATGGTGGGTTGTGTCATAGGTGTCATCAGTGTTTAAAAGTAATGTGGCAAAGTTATGCTGCTGGTCTCTAGACAGTAATGAACCCAGTACTGCTTCAGATTGCTGAGATGGGGATTGTGTGGGCATGAGGATCTTCCCAGGTAGTCATCGTCTTTTTGAAGAGCTAACGTTCTCTGCCTTAAGCTCTCACTGTTAAGGAAGGTCGTTGTTTAAATGTTTTGCTAACAGAAACCTGAGTAACTTAATGTCCGAGGCTTCAGATCTCTAATGAAGAAACAGAAAGCTTGCACCTACAAGTGTACTTTGCACTGGTAGTTACGATTAATGGATCTTTGTATCTCCAGGCTTGCTGTCCATGTCGTGCCTCCCAAATGCCATGAATACACTATTGCAGAGTCCCACTGCAAGCATGCACCCCTCTCCCTGTGGTCTGGACTGGCACCTCATCCTCCCCACACACCAGCGCAGAAAAGCAGGACTCAATTGTGTGTTTGATTCAAAGGCACACAGATGCTGAATGAGATCTTTGCTTCTCTGAACTACCTGAGTAGCCAGATTATTTATTGTGTGCAGATTGACTTTAGGTCAGCAGGAGGGTCTGTGTCTACGTCCTACATCCCTTAGCTCCGCTAAACGGAGCGAGGGAAGTGGACTGGCTGCATCGGTCAATGTGCAAAGAAAAAGACTGGAGTGCATCAAACCGTCAAGGGGACTTGACCTCCACCCCTTTCTCACTGACACCAGTAGGAGTGAAAATGGGCTTTGTTTTCATGTGCTGGTCTTTTTTGCAGTGTTTGGCTGTGTGGTGTCACTGAGCCTGTCCTGTACAGTTTTCAGTCCGATTTGCTACCTTTCCCAGTACTGTGCTCAGGCAGTTTGTTACTTATGTTAAATTCCCTGTCAATAGGGAACTCCTTTCTAGGCGGAAAATAGTGGGTGTGCAAAAAGGAATGAGGCAGCAGAAGAGCAGTCTCTGGGCTTGCAGAGTAGACAGAAAGCACCTATCCTGGTGTGTTAATGGGCAAAAGAATTTGGCAGTGTCACAACTTTGCAGGTGGTAAAGAGCAAAGATCTGTCTGATTTAGTCTTGATCAGGGCTGCGAGAATAAAATAACAGAGAAATAGTGTCAATAAAGGAAACAAGCCTGATACTTGCAGAGACAGGCGTGTAATTACATGACTGTATAAAGTCAAATTATCAACATATATTAATGGAATTTTTTGCAAAAAGGACTTACCTTGCTAGTCTCTTACAGTACTGAGCCTGAAGTCCAAGTCAGACCCACCTGCAAATCCTGCTGTCTTTCGCACTGGTGCCACTGTTAGCCAGCCCATACTTATTAAAATAAGCATGCCAGGTGTTGAACCAAGCAGTGAAGTTGACAGAGTTGTGCCTTCTTGAACTGTTCTGTTTAGAAATGGTTGGAGCACTTCAGAAGTGAAGGTTACTGTGAAGGGGAGAGGAGAGGAAGGGATCAGTCCTGGTCTGTCATCTAGTACAACATCATGGCTTATGTTTTGTCTTGGTTCTGAGTTAGCATTGTAACAGAATGATGTAACTTGCCAGGAGAGGTGGTAGTGACTGTAAAAAAGCAGCTTACAAAGGCTTTAATGTTTCTTTCAGAGGGGCAGTACTCCACCATCACCCACCAGTACTTCTCCCACGGGCTCTGATGGAGATAGTTGGCGTAAGCGCCAAGGCCAGTGGCTTCGCAGGAGGAGGCTCGATGGTGCCATTAATAGAGTTCCTGTCGGCTTTTATGAGAAAGTGTGGAAGATCCTTCAGAAGGTAGGTTGACATCTATGGAGAGCAGGAAGCAAATAAGCTGTACGGTATCATGGGAAGTTGATTTCGGGGGTATTGGGTTGCTGGGAGCTGAAGTTGGCCCAGATAGAAGCTAGAATTATTAGTTGGAAGGTATGTGTTTAATATATAAGGGCTTCATTAACACAGGTTCACACGTTCGCTTGAAAGTGTATTTCATCTGAAAACACTAGTGCTGAACTCCACCTGAACGGTTCTGTTTCACCACTTGTTTTGCGTTGATCGTGACTAATGCAGGTTGTGGTGACTGCCACTGAGGGGCAGTGCAGTGCAATTCATATGCTCCAGTTCAAAAGGCTGGAAGGAATGAAGTGAGCGCTTAATCTTTCAAAATGTCTTCAGATCTCTTGCTGACTCTTCAGAGCTGTGTGGCAATCTTAACAATTTTGGTTGTTTTTAAACGACAAGTAAACTTTGCCAGCGCCATGGAGATCAGTAGTATGGAAATATATTGAAACATATCTCCAGGAAGGAAAATTTCCACTCATTTGAAAGTGATTGTGCACTTGTTCTTCTGCTTCGCTGGCTGAAAGCCGGCGTTCAACACCTTGCGGCACTGAGTTGTTCATGCCTACACAGCCGGAAAGATGATGTGCTTAACCAGCTCGGACTCCTTTTGGTTGTGCTTTTGAAATAGCTTGTGTCGATGCTGTTAGTGTTGATGTCAGCAAAGACGAGTCATATTTAGCCATGAGATTTACTAATGGAATCTTTCACTACAGTGAGCATTACTTCTGTCCTGACCTACTGTAACTGGGAGTATTTAATGGTTTTCTGGCTATTAATTATACTCGGGTAAATTGTCTTCAGTCTTTCATTCTTAAAATCTCTTTGGACTATTCATAAAAGTGCTCTCTTTTTCTTGGTGCATTTTTGTACCTCAGATACCCATATATGTCATTCCTTAGCCAGCCTTCTTGCCATTTAGGTTTCGTCCCCCTTTTCTCGTATGCCGGTTGATATTCCTAACACCACCACCATCTCCCCCACGCCATTTGTAGCCCATTTCCAAAAACCACAACGTGTTGCTATCCCTGAGTTGTGGTGCTCTGAATCTCAAACACTGAATAAATTGTTGTTTTAGCCAAAGTATGAAATAAAGGTTCTCACTTTCGTAGTGTGTTGTCATGCTTTTGCATTGACTTTTATTTCTGCATCCTCTCACAATGTTCTCTTTGACTCTTTTGCCTGCCTCTTGCTGTAGTGACTGTCCAAGTATTTTGCTCCCATTCATTAGTTAGATTGGAATACACTGCACTGTCTAAGGGCCATGTAAGGTTATTTATAACATTTACCTGGTTACACAATAATTGGTTGCATGGTAACTTTTTCTGCAAAGTGAAATAATATTTGTAAGAGTTTTCTTTCTTCTTTTCTCTCTCTCTCTCTCTCCCTCTCTCTCTCTCTCTTTTTTTTAACTAAAAGTAGCTACATTTCAAAGAGCGGCGTTTCTAGGAGAAAAGTTAGCTTGCTTCAGAGGGCACTGGGATTTACTAGCAAAAACTGTATTCATTGTCAGAATGTTTTGTTTCAGTGCCATGGTCTGTCCATTGATGGGTATGTCCTTCCTTCCTCAACTACCAGAGAGGTACAGTAACTACATTAGAAGGGCTTTTCTAGCCATGTGATTGAATGTTTGATTTTACAGCGTAAGATGCAGTGGGACCATTGTTGCAAATCCTTGGTTTCAAGAACATTTTAAGTAACTGCTGCTATGGGAGGGGGCCGAGGTCTGGATCTTCCCTCCAGTACCTCCGCCAGCTTTGGCTGGGGCGGTGCAGATGAGCTACTGCCAGGCAGGCCTAGGAGCAGGTTTATGGCAGGTGCTTTTGTGACACCTGCCCTCTGCACACCTTCACTGGGCACTGATAAGGGTAGCACACTGCGCACGCTGAGCAGTGCTTCAGAGAGGGCAGCTGATACCAGTCATTTAAGGCAGAGCGAGGAAGAAGTCTACTTTAGTGGAGTAAAGCAGATGCATTGCTTGCTCACTCCTTTTCTTTTAAAATGCTGTAATTGCAGCCAGTGAATTTTGGCATCGCAATCTCAAAAGTAAATACCAATTAAGGGCGACTGTTTCTAACCAAAGCATTGGCTCTTCAAATCCATATCCTTTCCTTACTCTTTCTCCTTAGCTGGATTGCCACTCTGTCTTTAGGCACTCTGGCAAATTTTAAATTCACATCTATATAACAAGCAACTCCTGAGAACAGTAATAATCAGCAAAAGGAAGGTGCTTATGTGCCTGGGACTGTTTTCCTGTCGGGTTCCATAAGATTTGTCACTGGTTTCCTTCTTTTCTGAGAGGGTGGTAACAGCTGAAGAGAAGAGCTAGAATTTTCTGCCAAATTTAAACCTTATTTTTCAGAATGGAGAACTTTTTTCCTATTGTGTAGATAAATAGGCTTATATTTTTAGTCTGTCAGACCTAGACAGTGTCTAATTTTGCTGTTTAAAGGAATCAAACTAAATAAGCACAAACCTCCTAAGGCGTCAGCATTGCATGGAACATCCACACAGCTCTGCCAGTGCAAATTAGGTTGCTCTGCAAACAGTGTAGCTATATCTCAGTGTGAAATAGCATTTATTTTAAGCAGATGGTTATTTTTAAATCACTAAAGTAATTTTGGCTTTGCAACCAATCTGCAATGCCAGAAAGATGCTTTGAAGAGAGAGTGCGTGAGATTGTGGTGTTAGAAGCAAAGAGTTAATTTGCAAGCTAAGCATCGCTATTCCTGTACGTAAACAAAATGTGTGTATAATGGGTTGTAGGACTGGAATGTTTTTCTGGAATTTGCGTAACAGTTTGCAGGATCTGGGCCTAGTGACACAAAAAGTTTCTTTAAGTGCTAAGCCGTACAAACCTCTTGTTCACTTTAGTCAGACTTCCCCTAAATGCAGAAAAGAGCATATGTTTAAGTGTTTGGAGGATGTGGGGAGGATGTTAGTTTTTTGGATTTGTCAGTTTTTCTTTCCATTTCCACTCAAACTTGCCAGATGACTCCATGTGAAATCAAGTTTGCCGTGCACGTGGAGTCAGTACTGAACCGCATATCCCAACCTGAGTACAGGCAGCTCTTGGTGGAAGCTATTCTCGTTCTCACGTTCCTGTCTGAGATCGAGGTGAACAGCATCGGGGGTATCATCCACGTGGATCGAATAGTGCACATGGCCAATGACCTATTTCTGCAGGAACAGGTGAATTCAAAGTGCAGTGGTGGGAAGCCTTCACATTTGAAATTTGTGCTCTGTTTTTTCCCTGCTTATTTGTTTTGTATGCATGATAAGTTTGTTTGTGGGTGTTTTGTTTTGTTTTGTTTTTTCTCCCTTATGCTTTCCCCCAACAAAGACAGACCAAATCACTTAAGTATCTTCCAGAAATATATTTGGAAAATTAGTTTAAGAATTGTGGGAGATGTAAAAGGAGCACACTTTCAGTTCTAGTGGCTAGCAATCTCTGAAGTAAGTGGGTAAACTGAAGAGTTTTGTTTTACTAAAACCCTGCAAGAGCTACTCAGAGAGAGAGAAAGTCTCCTGTCACTGGAAAACCAGAGGCAGAACAGCTCAGAGACCACAATACATGCATGCAGGGCAGTAAAGGGGAGAGCACATTCATGTCCAGGTTTGCGGTATACAGCTCCTCCTAATCAAAGAGTGTTATGAAGACAAAGAATAAAACCTTGGAATTACCAATATTTGAGTGACAAAAAAGAAGAAAAATGGACAAAATCTGTGAAATTAGATGTTCTGTTTACTTAACGCTTATCCACCCAAGTCTTGCGTGTCCTTGTCCTGTAATCCTGAGCAAGGCTTTAATGAGAGAAGGGAGACTTACTTTCAGTACTCAGCACAAATGAAGAATAGTCATGAGGAGGTTGTTATCCAATAAATAAGCGTAATTATCTGATTTTTCCCTTCTTCTTCCTTTGTGTCTTTTCAGAAATCATTTGGAGCTACTGATAACATCTTGGAGAAAGACATAGCCACAGGAATTTGCCACTTTTTCTATGACAGTGCTCCAAGCGGGGCCTTTGGAACCATGACATACCTAACAAAAGCCATAATTACTTATTTACAGGATTTCCTGCCTAGCACAGGCTGCACGATGCAATAAGCAATGCCTTGTCAAGAAGGGAAAACTAAGCTCGCTCTTCTCCTTTCCCTGTGATGAACCTCTTGTTTAGTTGCTGTACGTATGTCCACGCGCTACCTCAGCATTTTACACTGTTCATCATGTTACGTGCACCCCTACCTGTGAGAGACAGGTAGGTAGAATTTGGCCTAGGGAGTACATGGGAAATATACACACGATGAGGCCTGTTCTGCCTAACGTACATAAACGTAATTCATATTAAATTAGCAAGAATTATACAGCTCTGCCAACAGGAAAATAAATTACTCTGTGGAGATCACAAGGCATAATAAAATGAGGGAGCTGTATCTCAAGCATAAAGTCTCCCAGATAAATTAACAAATTCCATTACTTTCCTTTTCTCCTGCTATCTGTAAATGTACATCATTGTGAATCACTAATGCACAGTGTGAATAAGCCAAGGACATTTAAATTAAAGAAATAGGAATAACTTGAAATAAACTGGTGATATTTTAATACAGGTTTATCCTGATTCTCATCTCATTTGCACCTAATTAGTGCAGGGCAAGCACCAGTGGAGACAAATGTCTTACAGTATCCACAAGTATGAGATGATATCCTCTCTGAGGAAGCTGCATCTCTCTTTAATCTGAGCAAAATAGCTTCCTTCCCTGCATCCCTCGAAGCTTTGGAGGCCAAATCTCAGACTGCAGCTTCTCCAAGGTGACAGACAAATTTTATGCCTGTCATTCTTTTGACTGACTGGAAAAAGATAAACATCTTCCACTCAAACATCCTTTTCAAGCCCAGATCCTTTCCCTCGCGGATAGCCTCAGAGTTCAGAATGCCATAATTGCCACCTTTCTAGCACAGGGTGAATTTATGGGAGGCTTTGATGTTTTTTGTTTGGGGGGGGGGGGGGG